CAGCCTTCTAAGTGGGGTTGCTCTATCCCTGCATTCCAAGGTCTGCAGGGGGTAGAGGCACTCGCCTGCACGGGTGGCAAAAGCTCAAAATGCCTGTAATTCCTCGGCAATTTGATCTTTTAAAAGAACGAGTTCAAAATGTTGAAATACAAGATCTTGTATTTGTTCAAAGGCTGTCTGTCTGCTAGACAGAGGTTTCCTATGTGCGATTCTGCCCCTTTTCCCCGAGACTGCCCTACCTGAGCTGCCTGGTCAGGGAAGCACCAGAAGTCCTCCTCCTCCTTTCAGATTTTTGAGGCATAAGAAATTCCATTTTCAGCAGTCTTAGGGTTCAACATAGCATTCCTGGGGCTGCTCCCAACTTAGGAAGTCTGGGTCATGTCATGGGAAATGACCTCAAAAGGACCCACAGAAGGCGTTAACAGCCAAGTCTTTTCAGCAAATTAAGAAACAACAAGGAGAAAACACTGTGAGTACACTGTTGTTAAATGCCATAGCCTACCCACAGTGACCCTGTGTAAGGTGTCCGAAGAGTGGTTGGTGTGTTTGAACCACCAACCTTGAGGTCGTGTTTTCCCTACAGCGCCACCCCTGGGCTCCGTCTGTGGGTGGAGAAGCGCTTGTGTACACATCCTCTCCTGGACCACACCAGCCACCTTAAAGGACTCAGAAGGTAATTAGGTGCAAGCATTGGACTGCAAACCATAAAGCCAGTGCTTGGAGCCCTCCTCTAGAAGAAGACTAGGAAAGCGAGTTCTCCTGGTGCGGAGCTGTGGGTTAATGCATTGGACCATATGGTTAGTTTGAGATGCAAGATTGGCGGTTCAAGCTCACCAGCCACTCGATGGAAACCCTGTACTACAGTCACTATGGGTTGGAATCTACTCGATGGCACTTAACCAGAAGAAGCAGGTAACATGCCCAGGGCCAATGCTACCAGCACTGAGTCCCTGGCACAGCTGACCTTCCCCTCAGTATTTCCTTAGCTATTGATGACATGGAATAATTTCTGCTCAGTGACCTTTGTCAAGTGGGTGATATACATGAGGGAACCATTTGACACCAAGATAACAGGGCACCTGGCTAGGATTTTACTAGGTGGTGGGTGTCTTAACCCAGGGACGTGGATTCTATACACAGCAAAGATGGTTGTCAGCATGAAGTCCTACTAGAAGTCATCTCGGAGGAACAGCTGCTGACAAACTGCTCTTGCTGCAGACCGTGTGAGCTCTGTCACTGTGGCTGCTGCCAAATTGCTTATTCCATGGCTTCCGGAAAGCAGGAGCAATGCTGGGTGGGAATCGTTGGAGAGATGACCTGGGGAAGTAGAGGTTGAGCAATGTAAATGGTTGGTTGCAGGCGGCTGGCTCCTAATGTGCCGAGTCAGATTGATCTATATCCACTCTGCAAAATATCTAAGTGCATTCCACAAATAATTCTACTGAGATTGAGCTGGGGTTGCCAGACTGGTATAGCTAGCTAGGAAAAGATCCTTCCCACTCTAAGGACTACATGTGCACACTGCTGGAGAAAGCATCCAACACATGAGCTAAAATACCCAAGTGGATGAACGCTTGTCCAAGAACTATCAGATTCTGATTCTTACGGAAACCCCAACTGGTCAGGCTGGTCTCATCATACCTAGGAAGCCCGTAGCAGCAGGTTATAAACAAGCCATAGTTAAGTTGCACTGTGGACATTGGGTGGGACAGAGACCAGTTATTTTCACAGGAAATACTTATTTAAGCTTTTCTTCTAGAGTCCAAGTATAATAACGTGGGCACAGGTTTTGAGTTTATAAAGCATTTCTCAGTCTCCCCTTCACCATTTTGCAATTGGAATACATAACTGTGTGTCTTTGGTAGTAGATGGTGCTGTGTCGTGGAGTCGTTCCAACTTCAGAGCTACCCTGCATGGGGTTTCCAAGGCTGTACATCTTTACCGGAGCAGAAAGCCTCATCTTTCTCTCGCAAAAATTAGCAGCATGCGTCTTAACCACTGCGCTGCCAGAACTCCTTTTTTTGTGGTAAATGAAGGAGGAGTAAAAGCAAGGTCTTCGTAAGGTCAGACCTTCCTTTAAGTTCTGCTCTGGGACGCGGATTACTGTGGGGTGGGGTATCCCATGGCATACTTCAGTTGTCACCAACTTGAGAGTGCCTGTGTCTCTTCAAGGACCACCCAAATGCAATGGGGACTCTTCAAACAGGGAAAACACCTCGCTGCCATCAAGTCGTTCCTGACTTAGCAACCCCATGTGACCTATTGTGTTGCTCTGTAGGCTGATCACTAGAGTGCTGACTGCAAGGTTGGAAGTTCAAACTCACCAGCCACTCCTTGGAAACTGTGAACTTTTCTGTTAGCAGCCAGGCACTATACTGCCAGGGTGCAAACAGATGCCTGGTCCTCCTTCCTCCCTCAGAGCAGCTGGTGGTGTTTGAACCCCTGACACCTAACCCACAGCACCACCCAGCTGCTGACTGAGAAGAGAAGTGGACTTGTATGTAGGCAGGACACAAACGGGTGCTCTGTGTCTGCGTGTGTGAGAGCGGGGGATCGCAGCAGACAGAGGCTGCTGTGTGCAGGCTCCAGGTCTCCAGGGGTTTGATCCTAAATCCATACAAGTGAATGACAAAGGCAGGCTGGAGGGGAAAAAGCCACTCAACGTTTCAGTAATTCAATAATTTATTCCTCTAAAAAAGTGTGTAAAAGTATATAGCTCTCATCCACAAGGTATATATGAATGACATTTAAAATGGGGGCCTTTTATTATTGTTTCTTTTTATCAAAGTCTTTTAGTGTACTGCTCCAGCGCTATACTGTAGGTTTTTTAAAATGAACTTCACATATTTTTGTATTCTTTCAAATTGTTTGCTATATATAAAAGAAGCTCACTGCAAAATGCTTGAGGGAAAAAAGGAAACAAAAGAAATTCAGAACTTCCCAGAAATGTACAGCTTTTACATTTAAAAAGGTTCTGAAGTATACATACAAGCATGCTGGCCCAGCCCCTCCCACCCTCCCATCCCCTGCTTTTGAGTTCAAACCATGGTAAGAGTTCTGATTTTTGCAGAATTTCTAAAATAAAAAATAAAAAAAGAAAATAACTTCTCACTCAGTAGCAAATCCAGGGCTTGTACGTTTCCGATTAATTCAGTAAAAAACTCACAAGTGAAATAATGCATATTGAAGGGAAACGTCATACAGACTTTTTCACACAGAAGTACATAAGATTTTTTTAAAATCTATTGCCATTCATTTATTTTTGCACAAAAACGTATAAATATGTCACCAGCTTTTCTTAACTTAAAAAACTTAAATAAAAGCCACCAGGTGAAAACTACCCTTTGCTGCCTTTTTTTTTTTTTTTTTTTTTCTTTTTTTGCTTA